AATTTAATTAAGTAATTATTTGATCATATGTTATTTGATCTTATTTGAAAATATGTAAATAGAAGCAACTAATCCATATAATTAAAAATTTCCAAAAATAATATGCATTAAATGTTTCCTAGATTTTTGCTACTATTTTTAGTAAATGGTAATTCTTTCTATATATATATATAGATGAAATTCATAATGAATGCAGTAATAACACAGTAACTATGTGTAGCTTAATAAATATACCTGACTTGACTTAGTTGAGACTCAATCTCCTTATAAATCTTCTCCACATTGTGTCGAGCGAACTGGTCAACGTATTAAGTCACTGCTTCAACTCAACGTGGGCACTTTCCACACTACACGACGTTGTGTTACCAAAATGTAAAACAGAACTCGTCCACGCTTTGACAAACTTTTCTTTGTGGACTAATCATGTTTACTTCACATATTGTAATACACAAGGAAACGTCGTGTACCGAAGATACATATCACCTACGGCCATGTTGTATTCCTCCACCGTGATCACTTCGACAACCTACTTTCACCTGTCGTGCTTCTGAGCGAAGACCTTGTTTTTTCCTTCTAGTAGATAGACCTTGTCTTCCACATCCTTGTTGATGTGCCACGTGCTAAGTAAGTGGACAGACTTTAGGAAATTCCTCTGAATTGGAGTAATCAAGCCCAATTCCCTATCAGTGACAATGGCTGAAGGATGTATATCAGGCCCTATCCGAAGTTTCAACCTCTGTAGAACCCAGTTATAGTTGTACTCGCTCTCGTCCTTGATAATTGCATATGCAATTAAGAAGTTCTTGCCGCACGACGTCATCCCAATCATTTCACCAATGGCATCTGGAACCTGTGCAAATGAGAGCAACAAGAGGAAACATAGAATCAAAAAACTTACTCGAACATACTAATCAAGATTCATACTAATTATTTGTTATTTATAAAATAACATACTTGTTGGTTTTGTACGGTGAATCTATACCGACGTACCAGTAATATGTTCAGAATAGACTGGCTGCTTGAGGATGCGACATGAACACACGTGTCAACGCCTGTGTCCTGATCAACATCTGTGTAAACTATATACTTGCTAACTGAAGCCAAATGCAGAATCTAAGCAATCACATCTCTACCCTCGAAACTATCTCTCTACAATTTAACTCTATAGTTATACACGTGTTGGCGACTAGCGTTGTCTACCGGGTTTTTCTCCTGAATCGCAGCCAAATATACTGTCGAATTTGCCTGAGCAGCAGTCATATCTGGACAATCTCTTTAGATGAAGCACTAAGTCCGCTCATCTGTTGATAACCCTGGAGATACACAATCATTGCATGATTATGCATTCCTTTCTGAGCATCAGAAAGAACCTAGATACTCCATTTTGTAGATTCTGCCACCGGTTTCACTTTTATCTGAAAAAGGCATTTGGACGTTTTAGTTTTCGAATGTTTGATAACAGCTTTAGGTAAATCTCATATACTACCTTTCTAACGTTCCCCTCGCTTACACCTCAAAACCTTCTGCTTTCCTTCTTTTTTGTGTTTCAAGATGTTCAATTCGAAACCATATATAATTGTCAACTTTTTTATGCACTCAACAGATTCTTCACAACTATCAAATAACTCATCTGTAGTGAAAGTATGTCTGTAATCAAAACCGTCTTCTCCAAAATCTTCGAGTGGCACCTGCAGTATATTACGATGTAAGTTAATAATTTTACAAGATAATCAACTATAACTTCTAAAATAATAATAGTGTAATCTATTAAATAATCAATATTAACTTCTAACATAATAGTAATAAATTCTAATTTATAACATAATCATTTTTAATCTATAACATAATAATCTCTATCTTCCAAAATAATAGTACTAAATTCTACTTCATAAGACAATCAATTCTAATCTATAACATAATAATTTCTAACTTCTAACATAATAGTGTTCAATTCTAATTTATAACATAATCAATTCTAATCTATAACACAATAATTTCTAACTTCTAACATAATAATAAAAAATTCTAATTTATAAAATAATCAATTAATCTACAATAGTTTTAACTTCTAAAATAATAGTCTAAATTCTACTTAATAAGACAATCAATTCTAATCTGTAACATAATAATTTCTAACTTCTAACATAATAGTAATAAATTTATACTAATATACTTTTTTCATAAATTTAAAAAATTAAAAAAAAAAGGAAAAGAAAAAAGAAAATTGGCGGTCGGCCGGACGCACCAACGATTGCGGTCGGGCTCAGTCCAGCCGGCCGGACTTTTAGGCCATGTAGGTCCAGGCTGGTTGCAGATGGCGGCCAACATTGGACTGGCCGAAAAAGTCAGTCCGACATCAATCGCCGGCTGGCACTAAGCACCTTGCCGGACGACATTCTCTCGCCGAAAATCGCCTGATACAGAGGATTTTACAATTTTATGAAGTTTATGAAAAAATGACAGAGGCAAAACTGTACAGGGGCGGTAAGTAGTAAAAGTGAGCGGTAAAAAGTAACACCCTAAATATTATTTTTTTAGAGATCATTTTCTTGGTATCATAGGAGTTCAAAAGGAATAAAACTTCTAGCTATCGTTAATATGTACATCTAAAAAATTTTGGTGGTGCAGTGGGTAATTTTTTTTATTTATTTTTGAAACTTAATTTAGGCTAATTTACAAATATACTCTATGAATTGAGGGGGAAAAAAAGCACAAATATAACTCCATTGATTTTGGCTATGTTTGGTAGACAAATAAGTTAGCCTATTATTTATTTGGTTAACTTATAAACTCTCTATATTCAAATAAATAAACTCCGTTTGGTAGGACGAGTTTTTTTTTTAAAAAAAAAAAACTCGAGTTTATTTGATAAGCTTATTTGGGTAGCTTTTCAAATAAGCTCGTTGAAATTTTTATTTTATCTAACTTACCAGCTAATTTTACCAAACACTTTTATTATATAAGATAACTTTTCAGCTATAAATCATAAACTATAACCTATATACTCGAAAATTACTGATAAGCTATCAGTTATTATCAGCTAGTTTTACCAAACATAGCATTAGCATTATGACTAACTCTATACTAAATAATTGTGAATATGCCTCAGTTACGAAAAATAAAAAACTGTTATAAAACAAGAGAGAAAGAGAGAGAATAGAGAAATGTTTCTCTTAGGTACATTTTTCATTATAACTGAAGCTCCTATTTATAGGAAACTTCTGATGGCACAACCGTAATAATACAATTACATCAGGGACAAAATAGTCATTCATATATATTATTTTATAACAAATAATTCATAACACTCCCCCTTGAATGACTATTTCTAAACATATTTTAACTGATTTGAATAACGCCCAATCTGAATATCTTGAAGTATATCTTGTAGCCATCGGTACTGGTGCTTCAGTATATCAGGAAAACCCGGTGGGACAAAACCTGATCATCTTGAAATCACAACATTGCTTCCTCAGGAAAACCCGGTGGGACAAAACCTGAGCATTGTGGTAGCACATCATTGCTCCCCCTGAAATGAATCATCTTTAATGGAGTATCTACGTGCTGCCTCGTTAAAACCTTGTCAAGAAAACCCAGTGGGACAAAAACTTGACCGAAGGAAAAAGAGTACAGCCACTCCAGT